CGTGAGCTGTACATGTTCATATTGTCAGGTTTAAAATTTTGATTTCCCCATGATGTCCAAGAGAGGAACAAGTGTTTCATAAAGCCGGACACAATTGATAGATAGTTAGGTCATTTAAACATAGGGTTTTATAAGAGTTATGTTGTAGAAAAAATGATTGTGTCATGTTTTAGAGATTCGTTTTCCGTGCTTTAGTTTTTTTTTTTTTTTTTTTTTTTTGCTTTAAAAAATACGGGCCCCACAAATTATTATGTTTGTAGGAAACTTTTTTTTTTATGTTGCATGATGAATGCAAACCCCTTAAACATAATTGCATGTGTAGAAAATGCTTTGTTGACAAAGACTGTACTCACAATTGTGTGATCTCTTCATCTTGAGAGGATTAGTCTTTGGCTCTTTGCTTTTTGGCTTGGGAAACCTTGGAAAAATTTCCAAAAAAACATTTGTTAATTTTACTCTCTCTATTTTTCGCTCTATTCACTATCATCTTTTGTCACCTTCTCTTCCGTCGAACTGTTGAGGAAATTGTGTTAGCAAATGAATGCTCTCAAATAAATGGTTGAGCTTTTTTACCATGATGGAAATGGATGTTTAAAATAAGAAAATAATTGTATTGAAAATCCTCAATGTGTGAGTTGGTTTGCGTAATGGTCACCAAAGCTTTTTGCTTTCAACTAGTTCCGTCATTGATAATTTGCTATATATTATTATTATTATTAGTCGTATTTTTTTGTTTGGGGTGCCTGGTAGAAAGCGCAAATGGACAAAAGGATTTCTCGTAGAAATGGTGGGGTAATTGTTAGTCGATCGAATAGGGAGTCAAAGCTTCATTAGTGTGATGATTACAAAAATATAAATAAGGGATAATTGCACTATATATACCAGCGGAATTTTAAATTTAAGTCATCCATATTTTATAACAGATACCATAATATTGGTAAAAGTTATTATTAATTTTTTTTGAGTACATTAGTGACACTAAGGTTTGAACTTATGATCTTATGTAAAGTTAAACTACCCAAATCCCTCATCATTAGACCAATTCTAATCCCTCATCATTAGACCAATCCTAGTAGCTCATTGTTAAGTTTTTATTGATCTATCAAGAATTATTTAGTATTCATTAGTCATTAATTTTATAATAACAAAATATTCAAAGCCCTTAAAAGATACTTTATTCAACTAAAAAAACTCTTACATAAAAAAAATTCCATGGAAACGGGCATTTTTAAATTTTGAAATTGATTTACTTAACTAATTTTAAATTTTAAAAAGTTGAGTCATTAATATATTGTTTTTCAAATGGATAATACTTAATTTATCATTTAAATAAAATCAATTTTTTATAAGTAAAATCCGAATTGAGATTAGATTTTTCTTTGGTGAAGGATATTTTTAGTATTGCATGATAGTTAATTCTTTATTAAAATTTGGAAAAAGTGAAGTTACTAGGATTGGTCTAGTAGTGAGTAAAGACGGGTAAAATAACTCAAAAAACTGAACCGAATGTACTTAAAATAACCAATTTTTAAAAATCAGTTCATGAACTGAAGCGATTTTTAAAGAACCAGTTCATGAACCGAATTGGTTTTTAAAATTAGTTCAAGAACCGAATTGTTTTTGAACCAAACCGAACTAATTTTTTATTACTTTATTTCTTTAATTTTTTTTCTTTTCAGAATAGGGACGACCCGAACCGGTTCGAACCGAATCGAATCGTTCCCAACTTAACCGAACCAATTAAACCAATTCGGTTCGATTTTTCAAAAAATTCAGTTCAATTCGACCGATACACACCCCTAGTGGTGAGGGGCAATGGCGGACCTATGCTGCTGCAAGTGACTGCAAGTGCAGTCACAATTTTTTTGAAAAAAGAACAAGAAAAAAGAAAAATTGTAATCAGATATCACGACATGTTACTCACAAAGCATGTTTCTTATACATGTGCATCCATAAAGATATGTTCATCACTTAACAAATGTCCATCAGTCCATCATATAAAGTAGGGGTGTTCATCAACCGAACCAAACCGATTCAAACCGCGGTAACCGAACCGAAAAATCGATAACCGAATAAATCGAAAAACCGAAAATCGAAAAAAAACAGCAATTTTAATTGGATTGGATAGGTTTTCGGATTGATTGATGAAAACTGATCCAATATATTAATTCTCCTCTACCTACTTGGACCTTTCTCCAATCATATCCCAAAAATTTATAAACTCAAGACCCATCAACTAAACCCAAAAAAAAATCTAGTCACATCTCATCAACAAAATTTTATTTGTGTAGAGCTTCATATCTCATTGCCAAAAAAATTATATATATATTATTGTTTGTTAATGCTTTTGTATTTCAAAAGAAAAAAATTTACAAAGCCAATATATACTAAAGATGTTATTTGCATAATAATTATGAAACAAATTTAGGAATTTCCAAAAACCGAAAACCGATCCAATCCAAACCGAAAAAAATTGAATTGGATCGAATCGGATGATTTTTGCTTCCAAAACCGATCCCATCTAGACCACGAATATCTCTAATATAAAGTTATGTTCATCAGAAAAAATGGACATGCAGTTTGAAGTAATTTGTATTTCAATAGTCAAACCGACACAAGAAAGCATTGTTATAAGAGAGATTCATATTCGTCGACATGTAGAAAAAGTTATACTATGGTTGGAAATTTTATTGTAAACAGATGTCTAGGACCATCCTAGTCTTTGTTATTATAATAATTAAAAAAGTTTTGATTTTAGTTAAAAAAGTTAAAAGAAAAATATTATGAATCTCATGTTATAAAATAAATACTTTATCCTTCTTTGTAGAGTAAAAGGTGAACACTGTAGGTAAATTTTCTCTATAACAATTTCAAACATGTTACTGGTGATAAGAAGGAGCGCAAATTTCCTTTTGTTTTTTAATGCATTTAAAATTTTCTTTTTGTAAAAAAAATATTTGATCCGTTGTTAAATGTGTAGACATAAATAAATTTTTTTTGATCTACCACTAGTGAAGGGTTTGAATAGTTTATATTAGGTTATGTCTTAATTCTACCATTGTATAAAAAAAAGAACAAAATAAATTGGAAGTGGCACTTAAGTGGCATTAACCTTAAAAGAGTGAGAAGAACGAGTAAAATTATACAAATACCCAACTCTCTTACTATTACACTAATTTTAATGGCTTATTTTTTTAATTTTAATATAAGATACACCCAATCTAAAATACTACATAAGTATTATTAGTTTTAAATAACATTTACATGATTGTCTATAAAACCTGTAATATATAAAGAGGCCGTTATGCCTACTAGAAGCTAGATTTATCATTCTTTTATTACAGTTAGCATAATTAATCAACGTTTGTTAATTTTTTTTTTTTTTTTTGGGCTATCATCCTCGTCACCTTCTCTTCCATCATTCTCTTGAGGTCACTGTGCTAACAAATGAATGCTCTCAAGCAAATGGTTGTGCTTTTTTACCATGATGGAAATGGATGTTTAAAATAAAATAAAAATTAATTGTATATGTGAATTGGTTTGCGTAATGGTCACCAAAGTTAATTAATTGTTTCCAACTAGTTCCGTCATTGATAATTTGCAATATATTATTAGGGTTATTATTATTTTTTGTTTGGGGTGCCTGGTAGAAAGCACAAATGTACAAAGGATTTCTCATAGAAACGGTGGGGTAATTGTTAGTCGATCAAATCTTGAACTGGTAGCAGGAAATTGCGCTTAACCCCGGCGTTTCTCGGTTGACATTCCATATGAAGAAATGTAACCATTCATCAATCCATTTGAGTTTTTTCACTTTTGGGTTCACGGTAAAAGACCAAAATTAAATATCGGAAATTCACTTTTTCATATGCATAAACTGAATTAGGGATATTAACCTTTATCCATGACGAGGTTGTTTCTTTGATTTTCATAAGTTCCAAAATAATTATGATATTAATGGCACAAAGTTTCTTGTAACTTTAATCTTTTTTTCTTTCATATACATTCTTTGATAAAAATGAGATACATCTCTCATAGACAGATTATGAAAAAAATTCCGCTTTATTATCCTTCTGAAAAACAATCTTATCGTTTATGATAAATGCACCTATCAAAAACAATTATCTATTTTAATTAACTTTCTTGTTCTTTAGCCGAGCTACCTTTATGCCAACCTATTCATTAAATCAAAATTAATACCATTTAGAGTCACATGAAGGCCTTACAATCAGCGATATATAGCGTTATCCAATTGTAGAATTTCCGTTTCTATGGATTTGAAGAGAAGAAAAAATTAACAATAACTGAGAAACATTGAATTTAAAAATAATAATCTAATAAGTGTGGTAAGCCATGTTGATAAATATAACCGCCTATAAAAATTAAGCAAATCAATAAAATTAAATTCATTTTAAACAGTTATGTAACTAAACTACCTATTTCCTAAATAAAGCGATCAATTATCATTTATATATCCTTGGTATTTCGAGTAATTAATTTAATATCACAAACATTAAAAAAATGGAATGCATAAGTATTGAATTTAAATAATAAGAACATTTTTACCAAAATAATAATAATAATAATAATAATAATAATAAGAATACAGGTCAAAGCAAGTTTGTAATAATTCCAAATATTAAAGTTACAAGGATAACGGATTCCACCACCCAAGCTAATCCGGCCAAGAACAGAACTATCCCATAATAAAGACCTTTGATGTCGTCATCATCAAGGTGTAGGATGTCATAACCGATGAAGCCGTTCAACATTGCTAGGAAAGAAATTGAATAACCGACTATAAAATGAAAAAATTTCCAAAATATTCTATACTTGTGATGATTTTCAGGCTTCAGAAATATATCAACACATATGTGAACATATGTCAAATATATTAGAGTGATCCCAATAAATCTGTGTGAAGTATTATGAACGTCGGAATGATTATGATTTCCCATATACAAACCAGTAGAAAAGCCAGCAGAGCCAATAAAAAATACCAGAGATACACATGCTCGATGCAAAAAGCTTGCAGGTGCTCCACAATCAAATTCAATTTCTTTCATGAAGCCGAATATTATCCCAAGAGGCATTAAAAATCCCCAACTAAAAGAACTCAAGATTCCATGAACCTGAAAATGAAAATTGTTATTAATGCATACTATACCATTCAAAGTTTCAAACTGAAGATAAAAGTATAAACAAATTCAAATTAAAGAGTTAGTTTAACTAGTTACGTCTTTTAGTGTAGTATTTGAGGAATTCACTTTTACACCTGTTTCTGAAACATTCCCAGATATAAAATTCAAGGTACCAAAAGACCGAAGATTAGGTCCTGATAGGAAATGTGCTTTTAAAGTTCCATCATCCGAAGCAAAACCTTCTTGCCAAACGTGATTCACCAAAGTCACATTGGATGGAAGTTGGAAACTTGCAAAGATGATCTTATGGCCGTCTGTGTAGATTGCCGAAACATTATGAACAGGGAAACTAAGATTACCGTGTTGCAAGAGAGTTTCATAACTTGTTATTGGTGAGGTATAGGCTTTGAAAGTCCCATAAGATGTTGGAACAGCCACAAATGCTTGGGAACCAACCATACCCTTTGAGGTGGGGTTGATGGCCCAAGCAATCCAACTAGAGTCCGTTGTGTTTTCCTTCTTGAAAGCAACATCAACTGTTCTTGAGGATGGATAGTAATTCCAGTGCATAGAGGATTTCAAAAATTGCAAATCCTTGCATGCTGCATAGTTAATGTGATTAGGAAAAGTGTATGAACTGCATGGCTTTGGTTCATTGAAAGTGTGAGAAACAAAGATGTGTGTGAAGAGTATGAGAAAAAAGAGAAGGTTTCCAAACGAAAACATGATTAGGGTGGAAAAAAAATAGAGACAGTTGTGTTGAATGTTTAGAACCCTTTGCAATGCTTCCATGTCATACGTGATGGCTTTTATTTTTGTTTTATATTTTCTTGTTATGTATTGAATAGTTTATCTTATCTTATTGTTGAAGTGGAAACTCTATCTTATTGTTAGATATATTTGAATTTAAACAATGAAAACTTATCTTATCTTGTTGAAGAAAAAACTTTATCTTTTTGTAAAATGTTTTTTAATTTAAGCAATGCAATATATTCTATCCTACATTTTTTTAACGTATTAATTTATAAGATGAACATCAAAATAAGTTTGATAAATTATTTTGAAATATCTACACAACTAATTATCTAATCCCTTATATATATATATATATATATATATATATATATATATATATATCTAACAAATGGCATTAATCATAGTAAGATTATATTATATATGATAAATTACAAATAAAATACAGTACGAAAATTATTTGATAGGAAAATAAATAAGTAGACGTGTAGATATTTCAAAAATTAACCATAGAAAGTTTTTTGTTTTCTACCAATTCCGTCATTGATGATTTGCTATATTATTTAGGTGTTGTTTTTGCTTTTTTGGGAACATGGCATGGTACGAAGCACAAATGATAAAGGATTTCCGGTAGAAACGGTGGGGACGTGGGGTACTTGTTATTCGATCAAATCTCGAATTAGTAGCGGGAAGTTACGCTTAATCGCAGCGTTTCTAGGTTGAAATTCCATTGAAATGTAAACATTCAACAATTTGTGTCTTCTACCTTAGGATTAATCATAAAAGAACAAAATTGGTTTTCAGAAATTCATATTTTCATAAACATAAATAAAATTAGGGATATTAACTTTTATCCACCATGCAAAAGATTCTTTGATCTTCAAAAGCGCCTAGAATAATTGTGATCATTAATGGCAGAAAACTTTTGATAGCCTAGACCTTTTTTCTTTCCTGTATGCTCTTTGATAAGGATGAGATACAATTCTTATGGGCACACTATGAGGATTTTTCCGTTTTACCTTATGTCAAACAATTGTCCTTCATAATAAATGCACCTATCAATAATAGTTATTTATTTTCATCTTTCCTATCTTATAGCCAAATTACCTTTATATAACTTGCACATTAAATCAAAATTAATACCAACCTTATACTACAGTCACATGTAGGCCTTACAAGAAGCATTATCCAATTGTAGAATTTCGGTTGGTGAGATTGGAGAGAGTGGAAAATATTAGCAAAAAAATGAGAAACATTGGATTTAAAACTGATAATCTAATAAGTGTCACTACAAAAAAAACAGGTGATTAATGGAGGTTATTTATCGGAAGTCAAAAAAATCTCCACTAAATAATATAATTTTTGACAGGTTTTAGACCTCCACAATTTATTTTTGTTTTTCTACCTAATATTATTTTATCTCCATTTAATAAATCTTAACAACGTGTGACATTATCAATTAATATGTTCTAAAAAAATTTAAAATACTAAATTTTATTATGCAATAAAAAAGAGTATCATCCCCGAACGCCACAAATTTTTTTCTCTCGCTCTTTTCCTCTTTCCAATTCTGAGCCCTTTATCTTCGTTCTCAAATTCTCAGTCTCCGCTATTCGTAACACACACTAGCCTTTTTAATTTTGATTCCTTCGTCTCTTTTTTCCTACTAGGGTTCTAATTTCCTCATTTATCTTTTTCTTTACTAGGGTTTGGATCTGTGTTTCGTTTGCCAAAATGGTGACCATGCCTCATTATCTCTCTTTCTCTCGCTTCTCTTCTCCGCCATTTGCATATTTTTTTGACCAATCGTGAGTAAGTTTGGGCTTTCAAACTCTTTAATTGTTTGATTTAGATTTCATTTTCAATTCCGATTGGGGAATTCATTTTCCTTTCCGCATCGCATGAATTTCGCATTCAGTTAGGGGCACCGCCATTTGAATGACATTTTTAGTTCATAATTTACATTCATTATATCGGGAGCAATGGTAGTAATAGTAAATATATTTTTGCAGTTGCAAGAGTTGAAGAAGCATGCATCAGGTAACTCATATTAGCCTATACTTACCCCTGGAATGTCTGAGAAGCAACCACTACATGTGGTTATGGTAACAATTATTGCAAAAAAATGTTCTGTTTGCTTGATAATTTTAGTTATTAACTTTTTAGTTTAGAGAATATTTTATTTGTTTGTTTGTGTTGGGAATCTAATTGAGTTGTTTCCTTCTTTAGGTTGATCCAAAGGAATCAAATAAATCACATTTCCTAACAGATTCTCTCTCAGCTATTTTACTTACTGCTTCTGTGGGATTAATGATCTGGTATGAACCTTTAGTTCTCTTCTCTTTCACTCTCTCTCTCCCTGCTCATACCTGAAAGCTTCATTTGTTATCTTATGAAATATATATGCCTTTCGGGTTATGGGTGTTGTTGCACTTCAAAAATACATAGGAAGCTTGGGTGGGATTGGAACTTCAGGTATTGGCTCAAGTACTTCCTATCTATGAAGCACCGATACGCGTTTTCGATACGTTCTCGATGATACAGGATGTCAATTACCAAAGGATACGTGTCCGATACGCGTTGAAAAAAAAAATTAAGGAGTATCGGTTCTTCATAGCTTCCTATGTCCCCAAGGAACTAAATAAGGAAGTGAAGCCAAAAACGGTTGACTTTTTAAGATGTATTCTGACTAACATGAATCATATTCATATAATATGCCAAAATAGTCAATTCTTTGTTTCTTGAAAATTAGATGATTTGTTGCTTAGCAAATAACAATTAATCAGCTACAAATTTGGGCAGTCGCTTAAAAGTTTGGATGAGAACGTTGTAAGTTCAATTGGTTAATGAATAATGCAATACACGCACAATCTTTTTTTTAATCCAAATAAAACAGTCCTCGCTTATCAATTATTCATAACATGTTATTTCATTGACCTTTGAACAAGTTCTGAAGTATATTTAATTCTATGAATTGGGTCATTTAAAGTCTGTTCCCTACTACGGGAGTTTTATTTGGACTCTATGGGTATTAGATTCTTGAGGAGTTAGTCTGGTGTTCTTCTTTATTCTTTTGTTTCCTTTTGAGACGTTCCAAAAAAAATTATTTATTTATTTGTATTAGAGATCTTGTTTGTAGATCATACCAGAATTCTTTTCCACAAAGCCTTATATAATTTCTCTCTCTCTCTCTCTCTCTCTCTCTCTCTCTCTCTCTCTCTCTCTCTCTCTCTCTCTCACAGAATGTCAAACATTTAAGCATGTGAAAGGTTGTGATGATGCAAAGCAAGAGCTTGAGGAAGTTGTGGAGTACCTAAAAAATCCAACTAAATTTACTCCCCTTGGAGGAAAGTTGCCAAAGGTCTGACGTGGTTTGTCTTTTTGTTCAATTTTTCTACATGACAACTTTTGCTTATATTTTCTCCTTTAAATGAATTGGCTGATTTCTTTGTATGAGGACTTTTGCTTTACTCATCATTACCCCAACTGGGTTATGAAGACTAATTCTTGTTCCTTGTGAATCTTATAACATTTTTGTTATGGCTTGCTTTTATGTTAGGAAGCATGTGATGATAGTCAAATATAGAATCTATGATACATGTTGTAAAGAACCTTGAGGTCACCACCCCAAAAGCTAGCTCAAAGGGTGGGAGTGTCCAAGGCCTTATAAACTCCACATTAGTTGCACATACAACCAATGTGGGACTATATATCTCAACACGCCCCCTCACACAAGAGCCCATTGGGCTTGAAGAGTGGACAATGCAACAGGCCCAGCCTACCTGTCCTAAGAAACGCCACAAGAGAGAGTGGGGGGCGGCGAGGCTCTGATACCTTGTAAAGAACCTTGGGATACACCACCCCAAAAGCTAGCTCAAAGGGTGGGAGTGCCCAAGGCCTTATAAACTTCACATTAGTTGCATATACAACCAATGTGGGATTATATATCTCAACACATGTTATAAATACTTAGCTGATGAAGAATTTTAAAATTTATTGATAATTTCAAGTGCAGTGTAAAGTAAAATCTTTTTTCAAACTTGAACAAGAATAGCAGATACGTTAATCATGCATGTATCACTACATGAAAGACGTGTGCTCTGCTTATGACATCATGGTAAAACAGATTAACCATTAGAGATATTCCTGATATTCATAATAGATTTTAGAGAAACCATGATTAAGTTTTGACACCTATACCTTTAACATTTTCCCAATAATCATGGGCTTAAAACCTTGTCAAGTTTTGTTTGTTTTTGCATTGAGCATTCATTACTCATGAATTATATGTGTGATATCAATCTCCTTTTTATAAATTCTTTGTATGAGGATTAGGTTTCCATCCCTGTGTATGAGCTGATATCATATTTATACTATCTCCATACGCAAATTGTTTTTATAGGAATAAACATGCTAGCATTTGGTCACCAGGCTCACCACAATATTATGGATTCTTTTTAGTGGCTTTCATTGCCTGCTGCTATGCTGATGAACTTGCTTGTCTAATTATAAAATGCCATGCTTTTTAATGTGCATTGGAAATTAAGGATTTGATTTTTTTTATCATCAAGTGAGCCTTGAACATTTTTTTTTCCAGGGGATTCTCTTGACAAGACCACCGGGAACTGGAAAAACTCTGCTAGCCAAGGACGTGGTTTAGCAATGTTCATATCAGAAGAGTAAAAAAAAGTAAGTGTATACATGTTAGGAAATCTGGTTTAGCAAGTTAACTTATGGATCGTGGCATATATGATTAATGTATGGGTTTAAGTCACTACAGTTTTTTGTCATCTCAAATTTTTGTATATGAAACTTTTGTCCTACATTATTTTAAAATTCCATACTTGTCCATGTAGCTGTCATTTCATGTTATAAGGTTGTTTCCAAGCCTACTCATCGCAATGAAAATCTCCAAAGTTGAAAATTCTGAGAACTGAACTCTCGGAAATTCCATCCACTCATGGAAAGACACTAATCTTTATATATATATATATATATATATATATAAAAAATGGATGACACTGATGAATAGTTAGTTGATCAACCAGTTGTGAGCTGGTGATTTGGATATTTATCGGCAAATTGATTCTCTTCTTGCATTGTCCCTATAGTTTGGATCACATCACAACAGGAGCAAGTAGTGATATTCACATGGCTACTGAGCTTGCCCACTATATGGTAATTTTCTGCTTCCTGTTTAATGTCAAGTGCAGTCTCTTCACCTGTGGACCTAGGGGTTATTTTTATTGACTTTATCTTTGCCTCAAGAACCAATTAAAAGCGAGTTTGGTTTCTACATTGAATCCCAAATGGGAAGATTTTATAAAGGATGTTTATAAAATCTTAGTCCCAATCATTATGACCTTTACGAAAAATATAAGGCCAAGGTAATAATAATCAATCAAATAAAACAAAATAACTACAGTGGGGCTCTGTCAAGCTATGGGTGCTTTTCTTGATTAAAAAGGTAGTCTTCTTCTTATCTTCTACATTTATGGCATTGTGCCCACCTCTTTATCTGATACTGAACTCAATATGGGTGTTTTAAAGTTTCTTAACTCTAAAATTAAGATATCATTTTAATATTCTTTACTTTTGTTCCAAAACTTGATGCCTGCAAACTTTGGATCAAATTGACGGTTGGTTAATTGGTAATTAGTCAACCTGTCTCAAACTTTTGGGAGCAGCATTGTTTGTTTATTATGCTATGCATCACATATTCTTAATCATGACTGCACACCTGATAACAATTAAGTCTCTGTATCTTCTTAGGATATACTTTGTATGGTCCGTTTCAGCATGGTAAGTGGGTTTATTTTAGAATTTCTAAACATTCTGAATTTCACCTGTGGACCTAGGTGATGTAGGGAATGATATTTCCATTTTTGGAATTCATGGACAGGTGTGTGGTTAAACGATACTGGCTGCAGTTGTTTTCTGTAAGAATATTGGGCATTTAATGAATAAATATTTATGCTTTTTTTTTCAGGTTCCAGGGGCAGATCCGGTTGTACAAGAGCAAACCAAGTAACTTTCGCATGGTACTAGAGGAGGTAATGTGGCAAAAGATGGTTTTCTGGAATCACAGTTGGAAGCAGAGCGAGTAACTAATGTAAAAGCTCATCCCGATGGACTTATAGAGGCCGCAGGTTCATGTGTTGATCAAGAATATTACTGCAATTAGTATTGTTGCTGAGCAAAAGGCTAGTGCTAGATTTGTTATCATGAGCAATCCTTACGTATTAACTGGATACAAGCACAATTGGATTGATTTGGTTAATATAGTTATTATCAGTCTTCACTTGGCTGCAAATTGGTTGTACAATGATAAGTCTTGTTGATTGTTATAGTGATGTAAAGGTTTGTCTAGTTGATTGGATTCCAAAATATAGTCAATATTCATGTAAATAATAAATTGTTATTTGTTATAATGTTACTATTTGTGAGCTTTATACTTACTCACTTCTTCCCTTAGTTCAGATGCTTTTGGAGGGGTTTTAATACAAACACTGTTCGAAGTATAATTTAATTTGCATAACATTTTCTTTCTTCATGATTTTCGGATGATATCTATAAGTGTTAGTGTTCTTAAAAAGTTTCAGCACAACTACAACTTAATTTTGTAACTTTGAACTTCAACTTACCATATTATTTGTGGAGCTTTATACCTTCCAAGAAGTGCAATATTTGTGGAGGTTTGGAACTTCCAGAAAATATATCAACAAATTGTGACGTTGTACACAAAGACCCTACAAACTATGTTGTGGCGATGGCAGAACTGGGGGTCTGAGTGAATGTCACAAATGTCTTTTATGAGAGTCAAAGACCTCCACAGAAAATATGAATATATTAATATAACAAAACAGAAGTACAAAAACAAAAATAAATGGAGAGAAAATAAATAATTGAACAGTAAAAAATAAATAAAATAATCATTTGCAGAATGTAGATAAAAGTTAAAACAGAAAATTAAAAGTCTAACAAAAAAAACATAAATATAAAACATAAATGTAAAAACAAAAATAATCAGAGAAAAAATAAATACTTAAAGCCTTGAATAATAAAAAAGACAAAAAAAAATTAAACTTTAATACAAAAAAAAAATGCAGTTGCTCTAAAAAAAATATTATCGTGTCTGATTGTCTAAATTTTCATCTCATATCTGATTGTCTAATTGATGAATAGGGGTAAAAAATATTTTTTACTGTTTTACCTATGTTAAAATAAAGGAGATTTAAAATTTCTTTTTTACTTTTTACTTTTACCTCTTTTAAAATTTACGAGATTTAAAAAAAATTACTTTTACTTTTTTACTTATACAGTTTTACCCAAAAGAAAACGTTGTATGGGATACAGTCACGTTCAGATTTACGGGATACAGCCACTTTTGTGATACAGCCACGTTCAGATTTACTTTTTTACTTATACAGTTCACATCAGTGTTGTATTTTTCTTTTTCTTTTTCAAAAGAAAAAGAAGTTTTGGCTCGTATAGGAATCCATTTCATCTTCAATACATACATCTCAATAAAGAACAAGAAGAAAGGTATGTTCTGATTTTGCCCCTTTTGCTGTAAGTTCATTGTTGGTTCCCAAGATTTCATTGGTAAAGAGGCATAAGTCTGTCTCTACTATGTGTCTGTTTTTTATAAACCTGATGTATCTGATCTTAAAGTCTGAAATGATGCAGCCTCTGAATATTGCAGTATTGTCTCCCTCAAGCAAAGAAACTCCTTCCACTCTCTATTTTGATGATCATCCTTAGGTCTCTTTTTCTGTTCTCATTTTTGCTTAGTTCTATTTGCAACTTCAGCATTAAAGACTTTTGTCTTTATAACCAAAGGCCTGATCTCTAATTGTCCTCCTCTGCTTTATGTGATTTGCTGCTCTCTTTTTGTTTTTGTTTTTGTTTTACCCTGGCATAGGCCTGTCTCTACTATGTGTCTGTTTTTTATTTCCACAACATCATTTAGATCATAAGTGTGAGCGCAGGCTACACAATGAACAATGCCTAGTTTATTAAAGAGTTGAGTGGAAGAGCAAAAGTCCCCCACCCTTGTCAGTTTGAATGACTTTGATTGATGACTTCAACCGATTAGAAATCAAAGCATGGAAATAGTAAAAATTTGAAGGGCTTCAGATTTGTTTTAAGGGGTATAACCATGTATAATGTGCACAACTTATAATTAAGTATAATGTGCATGAGCAAATAATATATAATATGAGAATCCCATGGTTGATTTCATTGGGGTAGGACCCCACGTCAGTTACAATTGTAATTAGGAAGGTTACACGTTGTGGTTATTAGTTGCAGACGTGTCATGGTGGGTTTCAATACTGATAGCAGGAGTTGTTAAGAGAAGTATAAATAGGATTGTAGTGTAACTGATACCTTTACTGCATTTTAATATCATCTCTTCTGTTACTTTCTGATCTTCTCTCTCTTGTTAGGCACGTCCCTAACACACTCCATCAAATTGAGGATGCTTACACTTCTCTAATAACTGGTTACTGATGGAAAGATCACGCACTCCATCAAATTGAGGATGCTTAAGAAGGGAAAGATAACGTGACCATTCGACAGCATCTTTATTTTATTCAGAAAAAGTAATAAGCATAAGAAGGGAAATTTCAGAAAATTCAGAAAGGCATGTCCAATGAAGATGGCTATAATTTCTCTTGGTCGTTGTCTCTCTTGAAGAAGACAAATATCCTTATGTTCAGCCACTTCAATGTTTGACACAAGGAACAAATAAGAGCAGACAATTCTTCACAGTAAAACACCCTTCCTCTTTTGGATACACGATGCAAAGGCTAAAAAACAAGACCAAAGGACGGTTGAGGAAGAGTGTAGCATGCTGAAAATGACTTTGCCCCCCATTGTTGAAGAAAAAACAAAGGAGTTTAATGCTACCAAACAAAGTTATACCAAAGAGAGACAAGCATTTGAAACCTACAGAAAGCACCTTGAAGAACAAATACCAAAGAGGATGAGTCAATACTATCTCTCTGCCCAAAGGAATAGCAGCTTGCCTGACCACCAATGGGATGGAGTAGAGGGGAATCAAACGTTAAGCAAACACAAAAAACTATGTTGATGAAGGGCTATATAAACAAGGGGACGGTTCAGTAAAAGGGGGGATTGAAAAAAAAAAAACTTCTTGACAAGCGAGAGTTTCATACAAAAGGTTTGCATTCATCATAGCTCCATTACCGTTGCACCATTAGTCTCAGCCCCATTAGAAGTCCCTGCTCCACCAAGAGCAGCAGCTTCCCACTAACCTATATGCTCTGTCTGGCAAAACCAATGCATATACCACTTTGCATTCCTCATTTCTATTTCCATCTTTAGAAACATGAATTATTACTGCTTTCAGTTGCGACTTATATATATTCTTCTTTTTTCTTCATTTTCTCACATTCTAATTGTTTGGAATCCAACAGGTCTCATGGCTCATCAAGCTCAAGAGATACAGCTAGCTAGGGATTTGGTGGGACAAGGTCAAGCTGATGGTAATGAGAATCCTAATGTGGCTGCTGAAGTTGGGAATGCAAACAGAGTGAGTGTTGTAATGGTGTCATTAGATGACACTGGTCCTTGTATTCGGCTAATCTGGTCTATTGGTGCTCTTATGCTCTATATAGCAATTGGATTGAGTGTGTACTTGACAAGTCACAATTTCAATCGCAGTTACACAAAACATTTTGTAGATGGCATTTACTTCATAATGGTAACACTATCTACAAACGGATATGGAGATATCACACCAAAAAATACAAGTATGAAGGTCTTTACAAGTTTTTATACATTGCTGGGTTTTTGGATCTATGGTCCTCTCGTCGAAAAGACGATGGAATATATTTGTTATAAATTGGAGGCGGCATTGTGCAGAATAATACAAAAATACAAATGCTTATTGATATTCATATGCATGGTGGACATACACGAAGTAAGATTCAGGACACGATTCAGGATTTGCATGGCTTTAGGGATTATCATTCTCTGGATTGCTATAGGACTAATTGGAGTGCATTATTTTGAGCACAAGAATTTGGTCGATAGTTTCTATCTCACCATGGTATCTATCTCCACAGTTGGATATGGAGATTTATCGTTCCAAACACTAAACGGAAGATGCTTCGCATTTATTTGGCTATTTGGATGCATACTGATAGTAAGGAGAACATTTAATTACCTCATTGGCAGTGGTATAGATTGGCTCACTACTAACACTAGGAGGATCACAATACCAAGACAAGTATTGGAGGCTGACATTGATATGGACAAATCGATCTGGTATGATTTTCCTTTAACCTATGCTATTCATGTTTACTTTCTCAGCTGTCTATACACTATGTTTCCTCTGTGACAATCACAGGTACACAAAGCATGACAATATTTAAAGAAATATAAATACATTATAATACTTTTCCGACTGAGAAAGTAAACATGTATAGACAGCTGATATTTGTTCATAAATTTTAAGTTTTATCACAAAAACATTTTCCTTTTATTTCATGTTGATAACCTTTTCCTTTTATGTATGCAGTAAAGCTGAGTTTATCTTACAAATTCTAAAGCAAAGGGGAAGTGTAACGACGGAGCAAAACATTCAAGAAATAAGCCAAATCTTCAATTCCTTAGACAGTCGCAATGGCAAACTCAGTTTAGAAGCTCTTGCTGCCTATCTTGCTGCCCAGCCAAGAGATGTCTAGTAGAAGTACAGGAAAATGCATTTTCCTCTAGACGTTTTTATCTACTCTATCTACTGACCTTTTTTGTTTTCTGTTGTTTCCTCTGGAACCAAACCTATTGGGTGCTCAATACACCTTTGTTTGTTACATTTAGTTGGATGATTAGCTGGTGAATTATGACAATTACACTTCAGTTCTATTACTTCTAATCAGGTGTGGCTGATCCAATTACCGATGATATTACATTAGTGCGTATATAGCAGAAGAATACTAAAAGGAAAGATCTAGATCTTATATTGCTTTAATAGAATTAAAAAAAATTATATAATATAAGGTAAAACTTTGGCATTCTAATATTTAATAAGTTGTTATTTCCCAGTGCTGTGTTGATGACATTTATCCCATAAATAAGGCAAAGTGAAAGACAAATTATCATAAAAATAAGTTATAATTCAGAATTCAACAAGCTCCAATGGATAATTAGATAAAAAGAATTTCCAATTAATGACACAAATAAAATATAATGCATATACTTAAAAATATGGAATATGAATGTCGTATATTATGTGTTGTATAATTGTCCAAGAGAGCTCTTTATATAATTAATTACAGATTAAGAATGTAATAAATATAGATAATATTTTTATTTCTAACACTCCCCACTACAGAAATATAGGTTATTAGTGGAGGTCAAAAAAGCCTCCACCATGTAATGTAATTTCTAGCAGATTTTAAGCCTCCACAATTTATTATTTTATTTTTTTATTTAATATTGTTATATGTATATATATATATAATATTTTTTAATTTCTATTTACTTTCTGGATATTATTAATTTATAAAAAAAGTTTATAATTTTTCAAAAAAAAATATTTGCATTTTTTTAAAAATAATTGTGAAATCTCGTCTTTCTCTCTTGTTGCAAACTATCACCCATTCTCACAATGCTTTATTGAGACTAACACTCATTCTTCTCTCAGCCCTACAACATCTCACTCTGCTTCGAAAAAAAACTCATTTAATTTCAATTTCTCATAATGTTTATTAAATTTTTCACTTAACACATGCACTTCTGCCATCGGTAGAGATGGGCATGGGTCGACCCAAACCGGATTTTTTGGAGAACCAAACTGAACCGATTAAAAACCGGTTCGGTTCTTTGGTCGGTTTTTTTGAAAATGAAACTGGTTCAGTTCGGGTCAAAACCGGTTCAGAACCGGTTCAACCCGAACCACTTATGAACTGAACTAGAACCACTTCCGAACCGGTTCTGAACCGGTTTTAAAGAATAATTTTTTTTAAAAGATTTTTCTCGATTTTGGTAGTTATCAACATTTGGATATTGTTCAGTACTTCCTCTTTGGTAGTTTACATATTCTTCATCTGTGCCAACCTAACCTGTACAGGGATTTGGAATTATCATTATTGCTAAAATCAGCCACTGGTAAATTATTGAAAAGAACAATGTTCTCTTCACTGTAAATGAAACTATAGTCAAACAAGAGCATGTAAATTTAAATAAGACCACAAAACAAAAATCATTCCTTCTCTTTTGTATATGTCTACTTTCATGAAACATGTAACTCACAAAACTACAACTGCATAAAATTAACAATTACAGAAAATTATTCAATCAAAATCAATTGCATACACTTGATCAAGCTTAACAGTAACAAAATCTACATTGTAAAGTCATCTGAAATAAAGGTTTGTTTCATTTTTTTCTCATCCTTGCAGTGTTATAAACAGTGTGCTTGCAGTCCGGAAGAATGCTAATAGACCAAGGAGGCAAGTTGTAATGAAGATTTCCAAATGCCACTGTTGCATAAGATTGTGGATTATAGTTTGCAAGGAATGCAGCACAAGCTCCAGATTTTGATTTGAAGACATGAGCCTGTATATTAGTAATGAAAGTTAAAATTTAGTTTGCTTACAAAGAATTTAAGATAGGATTGTTAATTCTCAGATAAAAAATTCAAGTTATACCTCTTGATAGTTTCCAAGCCGTGTTACAGTAGGATCTCCAGATACCAAAGCAGGTTCACAGAGTTTTATTGCTCTGTGCAAATCCTTCAGATGACCCCACTTTGGCTGCCTGAGAAGCCCTGTATAGAGGAATAAAATAATATTAATCATGTATGAAATTAAAAAAAGAAGTTTATTTCATTCATGCATATAAATATATATGAACAATTTTCAGTTCTTTAGATATAATATGAAAATGAATGAAGCATAGTCAAGGCAAGACACGGGATACACAGATTTGTCATATTTTACAATCTGAGTTAACAGGCAAACTCAAGCAGTGATTGCCAGCAGTCATCTTTAGATCATCAGTACTACATATATAAATTTTTCAATGCCGCACAACAAATGTCGAACAAGAAATAATATCATAATAGAATTTGCAGACAATAATAGTTATTCACTGAGATATAACAAAGTGATGCAATATTGACTAGGATTTTTGGTTAATGTAAAAGTATCAGAAGCAATGTTCAATTGTGCTATGTTTCACAGCAAACGGTAAGGTTGCACAAATCTTATAACTGGTTCTGAACCAGGGCTATCAACTACAGTTTAAAAGAAAGAGGAAGCACTGGATCAAAGTTACCTTCAAACTATCATCAAAGAGCAAGCTCTGCTGCATGTAGTGGTAAACGCAATTTATATAACTTTATTCACGTGATTTTTCTTAAATCATCTAACCTTCTAAGAAGTCACCAAGTGTTTCTAACTTTATTCACGAAATCCAGATACAAATATGCACAAACTTACCAACAGTGTACTAAAAAACTACCACTACAGTCATCACAGCCCACATTGCAGAGAGACCAAAATTCTCATGTAGTGGCTGATAATAGTAGAATAGTGACACATGCTACAATCAAGCTAAAATCAAGGAGTAGGCTTTCAGAATATCTTGTAGCTAGGATAAAATCAATAAACAAAAGGGTAGATTCTAAGTCACTTGCAGCCATAATTCAACTGAAAATACACAATAGTACTAACCAATCATAAAACCAACCATAGTAGCTTAACAAAATCATCAAAATAGAAACCGAAAGTACAACTAATTTTTGAAGCACAATTCAACTGAAAATACACAATAGTCAATCAATATTAAGGGCAACTGAGGTCGAACAGGTAGCATCTTGTTGGGAAACCATCTCTGCAAAAAAAAAAAAAAAAAATATGGGGATCAGGTGTTCAAGGTGTAGAGCACCATACAATTTTGATACCTTAATTAATTTTATTATCCAAAACAGCGCAGATTAAGCACTTACATTACGCAATCCAAATTAGACTATTAAGTAAGAAGATTACAGCAAGAGAAGCCTTAAACAGAATGATGAGCAAGAGAGCAGAAATTAATGAAAGAAATGCTTAAAATTACATAAAAGATTTCAGAGTGATTCGTTGCTCAGTACTCACTGACATAACATGCATGAAATTCGTTTAAAATCAGGATTAATACATGTTTCAGGTACATCAACAAACACAAAACAAACATCAAATTGTTCCGTTCCGAATTCAAAGCAAAAATAATGAGAATTTACCTCCTCTATTTGCAGAACTATAACTATCGCAAGTGAATGCCTTCTCTCCCCAAGGACAATTTGTAGGATTTGCTATTGGTGCAAAGGCAGAAGCTGACTAGAACAAGCATGTAAAGAAATACAACAGAAAAATAAGTTAGAATCCAAACAATAAATAAAGTTCTCTATTTGAGATCTGGAACTGAGTAACGTTTCTGTTAATAAAACAATAACCATTTACCCAAACGACCCACACAAAATAATTAAAATAAAATAAAATAGATCAGGATTTCTGAGATACAGATACCATAATTATTAATTTGTATGGCAGCTTCTTTAAGTAGGCAAAAAAGGATAATGCAGTTTGTATAAAATAAAAGCAAGCAGGATTTTTTCAAATAGGTCTGAATTTTAACATAAGCCTTAGAAACTCTGAAGGCACAAGTAGTAGAGGCAATATTTGAAACTGAAAAATGGAAGGGGGTTAGATGAATAAACGCCCCAATACCAATAATCGCTGAGGTTCACTACAGCAGCAAGCATGTTCATTACAAAATGTCAAAAACTATCCTATCAGTCTATCACCGCTTGAACCAGTAAAACTGCAGAAGCAACAACGAAACTAACAAGTTAGTTTTACATTACATCATGTAGCAGGTGAAGCTGGATTCTACTAACTATTTTCACCGAACTTCTAAAACACGAAGTCAATTTTGGATTAATAATTGTCATATTTCAAAAAAGTACAATAATCAAATCAAACAACAAATTAACACAACAAGTGGAAGCAAAATGAATTGACTCCACTTACGATTAAGTGCTAAATCTGGAGAAGTGATCAGAGCTGGTTTGTCATGATCCCCATAGACTATGACAGATACAGAACCACAGCCAGTCCGAATATGATGTTCCCGAAATAATAATCCAAAATAAGTGTAGGAGAAAAAAACACAAAAAGAACTCACAAATGTAGGACAAAGAAGCACAAAATTCAAATGTAGGACAAAGTGTAGGATATCCTTTGCTTTGTAGTACTCCATTTGAGTAATGGAAAACCATGTCAAACTTCTCCAAATTATTTATTACCTAACATGGCTACCCATGTGCCCTTGCCACTTTTTTGGACAACCCCAACTAACAAGAAAGTGCAACAGCATATTAATATAAGTTTCATAAAGATAAATGAAAAGGAAAAAAAATAAAATAAAATAAAAAATCGGATTCCAATCATTGTAAGTTTCATCTTGTTCCTTTGATAAGCTATAATAACGAGTTTCCACTGTTGGGCTAACCCCAAAATTTATGCAACCTTTGTGTAAGGTTAAGATACCACTTATAAATCCACATCATTAGAACTAGGAGAATACAACAGAAAGGAACATTCAGACCACAACTGATTCAGAAACTCTAAGGAATATCTGAATTATAAACAACATACCCTCATGCAACTTAAAACATTACAGAGTCCAACAAAATCACAAAATAAGGGGAAGAGAGTAAGACATAAAAACAAACATGATTTAACTGAAGAAGTTCTCAAAATAATTATTACCTACGGAACGTTTCTTCAAAAAATCACTGCCTCCTTCTATTCCTCAACTCAATCTCCGACCGTCGCTTTTCAAAACCGAACCCCTCTTCACTAGCCTAACTCGAAAAACCGAACCCCTCTTTCACAACACAAACATTTGAATTATTAATCGATGGTGAACTGAGTTCATGAGCTGAAGAGGAGAGAGGAGGAGGAGAAATGAAGAGTGAGACTGAAGAGAAATGATTTAGATGGTGAACTGTGAAATTAGGGTTCGATTGGGAACGATGAGCTATGAACAGTGAAGAAAAATATGATTCGATTAGGAACGATGGTCGATGAGTCGTGTCATGTAAACGGGTTGGTTTGGGTCGACCTGATTTAAAATCAGTTTTGAAATGGGTCTTAATTGGATTAATTTAAATAATAGAAGTGGTTCAATTTTCTCAACCAATTTAAAAAAACCGGTTATTTTTATTTAATGCGGGTCGGTTCCATAACTGGTTATAGTGCACCGGTTATGCACAAGCCTAATAAAAAAACATAAAAAAAACAAGTTTAACTAATTTATTCATTTATTTGCTACTTCAAATTTCTAAAGATACCAAATGATGAAACCCCATCACTACCCAGGACTAAAAACAAAATTTCATTATATATACACTCCCTTAGTTATTCAGTTAGACTTTTAAGTATAAACAAGGGCTTTACTTTTTTCAATGAATAATTTGCACTGCATCTACACCCCCCATAGGCCTATACGCTTATTGTCCTTTTTTCTAAAATATAATAATATAAAGTACATTGCAGTTGCGAAAATATACCTACAAATGGTAGATTCAACTAAATACACATGAAAACGTGACACAAATGGTAGTTGATGCTGGAAGATAAGTATGCAGGATTCACCTACCTTCAACCATTCTTAGAAGACATGGCTTTAGGGTAACAACTTCCACTCTGTCATTTAATCTCTGACCTTTGGCCTAAAGGAAGAAAAACATTGAAATCAGTTTGGGTAGCTGTAAGCGTAAAATAAAGAAAAGCTGCATAGGTTGGCATATATGAAATAAATTGATATCAAATAATTAATCAAAAAATGCAAACCTCATGAGACAAAGAATAATTTGTAAAATGGCATGTCTCTGCCTTCACAGCCAATAACCTTCTTACATCAAGTATCTTATCAGTAGAGGTACCCTTCAGGGAAATTCCAACAGAAACATAGTTAGTGATCTGAAACCACATTTTAGGAATGTGAAATACAAATATGTATGTACCTTCAAGACAATCAGTGATTCCAACAGTCACTGATTGTATGTACCTTCAAGACAATCAGTGAATCATACGGAGTGAACACAGTGATGTCTACAAGAGTCGGCGCTGATGCTAAAAACACATAAGAAATAAACGTAGGAGAAAAGGCATTTCAGTCATATTTTTTAGTGCAAAAAAGGGAAGACAAGTACATGAATATTTGATATTCTTTATCTGCAAGGAAAAAAAAAAGTGACCTTTCTCTTCCTTTTTCTTCTTCTCTGCCTTAGCTTTATTTGATTTCCTTTTCCCTGACCTTGGGGCCATTTCTTTTCCCTCTTGGCAGTACCACAGAACAAAAGGTAATTTTGGGCATAAAGTTTACAAAACCCACTTCAGAAAATCATCAACAATCCAAATCTTATTGCTGATAGAAGAACTAAAAGGATAAAGCATCATGTCATCACAAAACTATTACTAAACTCTTAATGAATAGCATCATGTCATAGGAAAATTTATAAAGCTAGAAAACAAAAAGACTAATCATGCAATAGGAAAATTTATAAAGAAAAGAAGATTTCAATTACCTATATGGAGAAAAACAAGTGTAAGTTAACTATGGTAGTGCTGATAAGGTAACCATTCGTACCCTGGCTTCTCTTCCTCACTCCTATTGTCAAGCTTCCTGCGTTATTGATGCAATACTCAACGAATATTGGTTTTTAACAAATCTTTCATTGGTGACATAGATAAGATATTTGACAGTACATAATCCGGCCAATGGCTAATTCGATACTCCATTTCTGTTAAAAAATAAAAATTTTAAAATTAGAATTGCATGGTATTGTATTGAAAAACTATGTCTTGCAATTAAAACCAGCAGAGGATAGTCACTTCTGAACCATGTTTCCTGCATTTCAGTTTGCCAGTGGGCAATACCAAGAATCTATAAACATTCCATTAGAGGGAGCATTTCCTAGCACAGTCAATGCTCTTAAGAGTTCTATCCTGAAGCCTGAAAATCAACTCATGCATCAAAGTGAAGTAATAAAATTGTTGTAATATCATGCAGTTAAGAACTCCATAGACCCCGTAAAAGCTTCAACCAAACTTCAGGATCCAAGTAACTTGTATTTCTCATTCCAATGTTTTCAAGGGCTATAAACAATTATTGACAGAGGCATGGCAAATAACAGACTGCATTCTGAAGGTGATTACAAACTAAGCAAAATCCCTTAAAACCCACCAAAAATAAATGCAGAAACAATTGAACAATAATTTAGGGAGTAATACAGTATTTTAAAGTTAGTCATCTCAGAGATACCAGAACAAATTGGTAGTAAATAAATTCAGAGATGAGTAGTAAATAATTGTTCCCACCATCGTCTGCAACAATAGCGCAGTGGACGACATGAGCCAGTACCCATTTGCCATCGTGGCATACTTCATTCCCGCCTTTCAAATTCTCAAATTTTCCGTGAATCAAGCAAGTTAAGAATTCAATAGTACAAGGAAACACAACGAATTAGTTAAATCAAGATGCTGAAATAAAAATCTAGCGAATGAAATCAGAATCGTAAAAATTAATATTCAACCAAAAAAAGTGGGTGCAAAAGAAAAAATCTAGAAATAAAATATCCATATTTTTGTACTTTAAAAATCCAGATTCGTATGAATAAAACCTAGGAGGATCAATATCGAGAAATAGAACCCAAACAAAACCCTAAAAAGAGATAAAAATGCAATGATGTGAGAGAGAAAGCATGAGACAAACCAACAATTAAGCCACCTCTTGACACCCATCACCACCGCGCGTGCTCCATCAGGTAGAGCCGTTAGAGCCGCGCCATTGTCGTCTTCAGTTTGAGTCTTGAAGCTTGAAGAGCGAAATAAGCAGAAAAAATGATCAGAGAAAATTATAAAATTTGGGATATGGAATTGAAATGTGAGAGATCGGAAAAGATAGAAGATGTGACTATGTACAGCTCAGGGTACATCGCTTGCAACAAGAGAACTTACCGGCGAGTATGTGTTAACTAAATAAAATATGATGAGCTATGAACGGTGAAGAAAAATATGATTCGATTAGGAACGATGGTCGATGAGTCGTGTCATCTAAACGGGTTGGTTTGGGTCGACCTGATTTAAAATTAGTTTTGAAATGGGTTTTAATTGGATCAATTTAAATAATAGAAGTGGTTCAATTTTCTGAACCAATTTAAAAAAACCGGTTATTTTTATTTAATGCGGGTCGGTTCCATAACCGGTTATGGTGCACCGGTTATTATGCACAAGCCTAATAAAAAAACATAAAAAAAACAAGTTTAACTAATTTATTCATTTATTTGCTACTTCAAATTTCTAAAGATACCAAATGATGAAACCCCATCACTACCCAGGACTAAAAACAAAATTTCATTATATATACACTCCCTTAGTTATTCAGTTAGACTTTTAAGTATAAACAAGGGCTTTACTTTTTTCAATGAATAATTTGCACTGCATCTACACCCCCCCCATAGACCTATACGCTTATTGTCCTTTTTTCTAAAATATAATAATATAAAGTACATTGCAATTGCGAAAATATACCTACAAATGGTAGATTCAACTAAATACACATGAAAACGTGACACAAATGGTAGTTGATGCTGGAAGATAAGTATGCAGGATTCACCTACCTTCAACCATTCGTAGAAGACATGGCTTTAGGGTAACAACTTCCACTCTGTCATTTAATCTCTGACCTTTGGCCTAAAGGAAGAAAAACATTGAAATCAGTTTGGGTAGCTGTAAGCGTAAAATAAAGAAAAGCTACATAGGTTGGCATATATGAAATAAATTGATATCAAATAATTAATCAAAAAATGCAAACCTCATGAGACAAAGAATAATTTGTAAAATGGCATGTCTCTGCCTTCACAGCCAATAACCTTCTTACATCAAGTATCTTATCAGTAGAGGTACCCTTCAGGGAAATTCCAACAGAAACATAGTTAGTGATCTGAAACCACATTTTAGGAATGTGAAATACAAATATGTATGTACCTTCAAGACAATCAGTGAATCATACGGAGTGAACACAGTGATGTCTACAAGAGTCGGCGCTGATGCTAAAAACACATAAGAAATAAACGTAGGAGAAAAGGCATTTCAGTCATATTTTTTACTGCAAAAAAGGGAAGACAAGTACATGAATATTTGATATTCTTTATTTGCAAGGGGAAAAAAAAGTGACCTTTCTCTTCCTTTTTCTTCTTCTCTGCCTTAGCTTTATTTGATTTCCCTTTCCCTGACCTTGGGGCCATTTCTTTTCCCTCTTGGCACTACCACAGAACAAAAGGTGATTTTGGGCATAAAGTTTACAAAACCCACTTCAGAAAATCATCAACAATCCAAATCTTATTGCTGATAGAAGAACTAAAAGGATAAAGCATCATGTCATCACAAAACTATTACTAAACTCTTAATGAATAGCATCATGTCATAGGAAAATTTATAAAGCTAGAAAACAAAAAGACTAATCATGAGATAGGAAAATTTATAAAGAAAAGAAGATTTCAATTACCTATATGGAGAAAAACAAGTGTAAGTTAACTATGGTAGTGCTGATAAGGTAACCATTCATACCCTGGCTTCTCTTCCTCACTCCTATTGTCAAGCACCCTGCGTTATTGATGCAATACTCAACGAATATTGGTTTTTAACAAATCTTTCATTGGTGACATAGATGAGATATTTGACAGTACATAATTCGGCCAATGGCTAATTCGATACTCCATTTCTGTTAAAAAATAAAAATTTTAAAATTAGAATTGCATGGTATTGTATTGAAAAACTATGTCTTGCAATTAAAACCAGCAGAGGATAGTCACTTATGAACCATGTTTCCTGCATTTCAGTTTTCCAGTGGGCATACCAAGAATCTATAAACATTCCATTAGAGGGAGCATTTCCTAGCACAGTCAATGCTCTTAAGAGTTCTATCCTGAAGCCTGAAAATCAACTCATGCATCAAAGTGAAGTAATAAAATTGTTGTAATATCATGCAGTTAAGAACTCCATAGACCCCGTAAAAGCTTCAACCAAACTTCAGGATCCAAGTAACTTGTATTTCTCATTCCAATGTTTTCAAGGGCTATAAACAATTATTGACAGAGGCATGGCAAATAACAGACTGCATTCTGAAGGTGATTACAAACTAAGCAAAATCCCTTAAAACCCACCAAAAATAAATGCAGAAACAATTGAACAATAATTTAGGGAGTAATACAGTATTTTAAAGTTAGTCATCTCAGAGATACCAGAACAAATTGGTCCTTTGAGATTATTCGAGGAAAGATCCCTGTAAAAAATAAAATAAAATAAAATAACAATGTACATAATAATAAACTCCTTATGAAAAGGGGAAGATAGAACAATAAGATCATGAAAGTAACGCTCTTGATTTATAAAAAATAAATAAAATGAACCTGCTAAAGAAATTTATTGGTTGATAAATGCAAGTGGCTGCATAACATAGTCATAATCTGAGTTCGATGTATTTGTGGCATCATTTTCAAAAGGATGGAATGACTTACAACTTAGAGATAAATTCAGAGCATAAGTAGTAAATAATTGTTCCCACCGTCGTCTGCAACAATAGCGCAGTGGACGACATGAGCCAGTACCCATTTGCCATCGTGGCATACTTCATTCCCGCCTTTCAAATTCTCAAATTTTCCGTGAATCAAGCAAGTTAAGAATTCAATAGCACAAGGAAACACAACGAATTAGTTAAATCAAGATGCTGAAATAAAAATCTAGCGAATGAAATCAGAATCGTAAAAATTAATATTCAACCAAAAAAAGTGGGAGCAAAAGAAAAAATCTAGAAATAAAATATCCATATTTTTGTACTTTAAAAATCCAGATTCGTATGAATAAAACCTAGGAGGATCAATATCGAGAAATAGAACCCAAACAAAACCCTAAAAAGAGATAAAAATGCAATGATGTGAGAGAGAAAGCATGAGACAAACCAACAATTAAGCCACCTCTTGACACCCATCACCACCGCGCGTGCTCCATCAGGTAGAGCCGTTAGAGCCGCGCCATTGTCGTCTTCAGTTTGCGTACTTTCGCGGAGTCTTGAAGCTTGAAGAGCGAAATAAGCAGAAAAAACGATCAGAGAAAATTTTAAAATTGGGGATATGGAATTGAAATGTGAGAGATCGGAAAAGATAGAAGATGTGACTATGTACAGCTCAGGGTACATCGCTTGCAACAAGAGGATGCTTAAGAAGGGAAAGATCACGTGACCATTCGACAGCATCTTTATTTTAAGC